AATAAAGGAATGAGTCGGAAAAAAAAGAAAGAAAATGAAAGACATTGAGACGAAGAAGAAAGAAAAAGCGAGATTACAAAATGTAAAGAAACGAATATTGTCTTATTTTGTTGAATAAATAAAATTGCGTTTGTTTAACAACAGTTACATCATTGTTCGGTGATCACCATGTGTCCGGAAAACAGAAAACTAAATGAGTCAAGGAGGGGATAAAGGGTGGGTGGGGGTGAGTTCTGTCTTAATAATAGAAAAAAGAAAAAAACAAAAAGAAGAAAAGATCAAGGCGAAAAAAAAAATGCCTCGATCGTCTTGATCTCCGGCAGCTGTCGTTTTGTATTTAGGAAAATTCACTCGACAGGTTCTCTTTGAAAAAGTCAAAAAGACAGGAGGTCATTGCAGACAGTCAACTCTTTTCTTTGTATACATCGGAAGACGCGTGGATGATGAATTACAATTAAAAAAAAAGGCATTAAAAATATATAAAAATCTGTGTGGTGGCAGGAGATAAGCAGTTCCACACATTTGCGTTTATATAAAGACAACGCACGCGCACACACACTCACATATGCAGAGTGCGATGGGTAAATTGTCGATATTTTATAAATTTAATTTTGCGCATGCGCGTTGTTTGTTTTTGATTTTGTCGACTGCACAGTGTAGTAGGGTCAGTTGGGCACCGTCTGTGAGGAAAAGAGCACAATGAAACAATTCACTCCGCCAGATGTTTGGAAACGACATGCTGTACTACTTGGCATTAGCACCGGAAGCTCTAATAAGGACATTTCAGATGTTGACAGTGCAGAGGATTCAGAAAGAGTTGGATGAGTCTAACGGTGATTATGAAGTTACGGTAACTCGGAAAACGCACTCTGATCTGATAAGACAAGAACATTCAAATTTGTTGGTAAGGGCCTCAGACTCAACACGGAGGCCTACATCAAGTACCTTGAAGTGGTGTTAAGAGGGTGGCTTCTGGAAGACTCTATGTCTGATAACAGGACTCTGCACCATGCCACATGAGCAGGAGAAACGAGTCATGGCAGGCAGACAATTTCTGCGACCACATCACCATTTACATCTGGCCACCTAACTCCCCAGACTGCAACCACCTTGATTATTATGTGTGGGGCGCAGTTGAATGAGAGACAAATAAAACTCCGTGTAACATTAAAGAAGAAACAAAGGCAAGGATTATGGCAGAATTTAGCGTCTTAAACATGGAGACCATCCAGAAGAGTTTCAGGAGATTCCGAAGTGGTCAAGAGGCTGTCGTTGAAGACAATTTACCCGTCGTACCCTGTCTCTCTCTCACACACACACACACACATATATATATATATATATATATATATATGGAGAGATATATATAAATTTTTATATATCAAGAACTATTTTAGGGGAAAGATGTATAACAAAGTGGAAAAAGTTTTGGTGTGATGTATTCCGACATTTAGAACTTCATCACACTAACTATATGTTTACTTTCATTAGACTACACATATGCACGTACAAGAGACGCTAGGAATGTTAAATTTTAAAATATTTTTCCTTTTTGTCTCCATCACTTTTGTTATTAAATATCTCACATTGTAATAATAATTTCACCATTGTGGGATATTTAATAACAAAACTAATGGAAAAAAAAAGAATTTATTTATTATATATTATATATATATATATATATATTCGTGGTGACTCTAGCGGACGGTTTGTCGGGCTTATCGGGAGTAAGTCAAACTTCAAGTATATATATTTCAAAGCAACAAAAATCTTTTGTAGTGCGTCCTTTTTAATTTTTGACTTCAGGACGTTCCAGAATTGTTCCTCAAAATATTCCTCAAAATATTGACCAAAATACATTTCCTTGATATTGTTCATAATAAAGAAGAAATAAATAAAAAATATCAAAGAAAGAAAGTAAAATTAGAATGATATAAAATTAACAAGGCTAGTCGGGCTCCGTAGAGTTGAGCCTATCTGAGCTGGAGATATTTAATAGGAAATGTATTTCTTGATTTGATTTTAAAAATGATCTTTTAAAAATCTCTGATGACTTGTATGTTCTTGTTTTTCAAAGAGCACATTTTTATTTGAACTTATTTTTTCAAATGTCCATTTTAAATAATTTATTCCATACTTTCATGCACAATGTATCAATTGAAAAAGAGTAAATTAAATTTATCCCGACCTAAAGTCAGTGAAAAACAAAGAAAACTTTATCTCGTCGACTGGATATTTGGGGTGAGGAGCGTGACTGGGGTATTGTTGAGGAGGTATGATATCAGTCGAAAGTATTGATGATAAACGTAAAATTCACAGACAAAGATACATAAGCACAGTAACGTATAAAGATATATGCAAAATGCACTGGGGATAGATACACACACAAAAAAGACCTTATCTGGCTAGAGATTCTTAAAATTATATATTTCAGTTAGATTAAAGGTATCATTTTAGCATCTAAGTTATACCAATAAAATATTTTGTTAAATATTGTAATGAGGCTGACAAACATCGATGACCCAGAGTCGACATTGGTAAATAAATATATATATATATATATATATATATATATATATATATATATATATATAGGTGCGCGCGTGTGTGTGCGTGTTTGTGTTTGTGAAATAATGAATAACGTCTCGGACTGAGTAATCGGAGAGCCAAGTTCGAATTCCAGACGAGTTTGTTACATTCAGTTATGTACAAATACACTTGGGAAAGATATGAATTCCTCTCTTCTCTTACCTCAGCTACGAGTGAAATAGCAGGACAGAGTGGTGTTCAAGGAGAAGAGCAACAATGAATTCAGACCTTTAGGACTATCCTTTGTGGATCTTGTGTCACACTATTGCACCAGTTCCTTGTATTCGGCTCTTCCAAATGATGAGGCACACACACACACACACACACACACACACACACACACACACACACACACACACACACATATATATATATATATATATATATACTAGATAATTTACAAAGATTATGTCTGCTTATTTTTAGCACAATCCTTTCATATTCATGAATATTTATCTGTGTATTACAATCAAATGAGGCAAGAAATTCACTGTAACAGTGAAAATCATGGAAAATACTTGGGAAATAAAAATGATTTTTACTGTGACAGTGCATTTCTTGCCTTATTTGATTGTAATACATGGGAAAATATTTGTGAATATGAAAGGATTATGCTCAAAATAAGCAGACATAATGTTTGTTATTTATTTAATCAGTCATGCCTAAAAAGAGAATTGGCTGCCTAAATTTGCACAGACACACACACACACACACACACACACACACACACACATTAATATATATATATATATATATATATATATATATATATGATTAAAATAAAAGGAATACTTTACCATAAACACAACTAAATAAAAGCAGCATTCCTTTTGTTTTCATTCATATTGTCTTTTTACGGATGTATTTGATTTATAACTGAATCTTTTCACACACATATATATATATATATATATATATATATATATATATATATATATATATATATATATATATAGATAGATAGATAGATAGATAGACAATTGGAAAATAGAACTTACTCCGTGCCGACGCGTTTCGGCATTCAACTTTTCAAGGTCAGTGAGGATAAACAAAAGTGAAATGTGTAGTTACAAGAAATTCAAAATTTTTTAAAGACGCTTCTATGTAGCCCTCTTTCTGGATATTAGTAATATCATTTTTTTGACTAATTGTGTGTTTTTAAAATTAAATTTAAAAGATTAAAGTAATGTTTTTTAGGGAATTATATATGTGTACGAAGGCTAGAAGGAGATTTGTTATGGTTATGTACCGACACGAAACGGTGAAGGTGTAGGAATACTGAAATTTAAAAAAATAAATCCATTTTAAAATATAAGCAATTCTTGTTACAGTTTCTTCATAGCTACGTAACGCCATTTTAAATTCAGTGAAAGTTAGTTGTTTATCTCTTTGAGTTATAACTGTCGTGAATGGTCTGAATGACAGTGACAAACCCTTCAAGACCATGGCTATTAGCAGCCCATCCGAGATAGTCTCACCTGCAATTTTTAAGGCATTTGTTACATTCTCCGCTCGGATGATGTAATCGGTTATAAATTCATTTTCTCGTCTCTTTAATGCGGTTAGTTCAGTATATAAAGCAATAAATTTAGGCTTACCTTTTGACAAATAGTGTTCACGCAAAATTTGTAGAGCTCGCCTTCCATTGTTCTTGGCCTCTCTCATTATTAAAGACAAACTCCGGTCATCCAGGAATTGTATTAATTCAGCGAACACGGTCGCGTTTCTTTCTATAAAATCATCACCCCCCTCCTGGTCGACTTTGCAAAGGATGATGTCATGGAGTTTTTGTATTCTGAGGTAGCCTAAAAACTTCGTCACCTATAATTCATATCTCGATTCATTCCCGTCAAAATATAATCGTGATCTGCGCTCATAATCAATGTTAGACATTTTATGACGGTCGTCTTCGAATATAGAATCCAGAGGTTAGCAGTGAATATTTCGGAGACACTAGGAAATCGTAGTTCAGGTTAGCAGTGGATATCGCAGCAAAGTAGCAGAGCGTAGTACTTCCTTCTGTCATCTTCGCCTGACAAGTTGGCACTGGTCATTCGGATAGGATAAACAAAAATGGCCGCCTTTATACACGACGAATAGAATGTTCTGCGTCTTCTGATTGGTTAACCTTCTATTGATAGACTATAAAGCGAGTCAAGGCATTTGGACCAACTCACTAGTTATATATATATATATATATATATATGTACATATACACAAAAAAACTGTAACAATTCTAACCGCTGCTTGTATTTTATCTCCCACTGCTCTTCCAGGGAATATATAATTCCATGAGCAAAAAACATTACTCCGGTCCAATGACGTACTTCTAGATGACGAAATACATTGTTTTCTACTTTGTCATTCATTTGCCTAACGTTATTTTGATATATAGATATTTATAAATCATATTATCCCACAGATAGATAGATAGAGAAATACATGAGGAACATGCTGAGATAGATAGATAGATAGATAGATAGATAGATAGATAGATAGATAGATGAGAGGCAAAAAGATAAGGAAAACACTGAGATAGATAGACAGAGAAACAGATAAAGAGCATAATGAGATAAATAGATAATGAACATACTACGATAGATAGACAAACGTACAAACAGATAAGGAATATACTGAAATAGATAGATAGATAGATAGATAGATAGATAGATATTTTAAAGAGAAACTAAAGAAGAACTGAGATAGATAGATATATCGAAAGAAAGAAATGGACAGGCTAAGATAGATAGATAGATAGATAGATAGATAGATAGATATACGAAAGAGAAACAAAGGAAGATACTGAGATAATAGATATATCGAAAGAAAGAAATGGACAGGCTAAGATATAGATAGATAGATAGATAGATAGATATACGAAAGAGAAACAAAGGAAGATAGATGAGATAGATAGATATATCGAAAGAAAGAAATGGAACTAAGATATAGATAGATGGATAGATAGATAGATAGATAGATAGATAGATAGATATACGAAAGAGAAACAAAGGAAGATACTGAGATAATAGATATATCGAAAGAAAGAAAAGGCTAAGATATAGATAGATAGATAGATAGATAGATAGATAGATATACGAAAGAGAAACAAAGGAAGATACTGAGATAGATAGATATATCGAAAAGAAAGAAATGGACAGGCTAAGATATAGATAGATAGATAGATAGATAGATAGATAGAAGAAGATAGATAGATACGAAAGAGAAACAAAAGGAAGATACTGAGATAGATAGATATATCGAAAGAAAGAAATGGACAGGCTAAGATATAGATAGATAGATAGATAGATAGATAGATAGATAGATAGATAGATAGATAGATAGATATACGAAAGAGAAACAAAGGAAGATACTGAGATAGATAGATATATCGAAAGAAAGAAATGGACAGGCTAAGATATAGATAGATAGATAGATAGATAGATAGATAGATATACGAAAGAGAAACAAAGGAAGATACTGAGATAGATAGATATATCGAAAGAAAGAAATGGACAGGCTAAGATATAGATAGATAGATAGATAGATAGATAGATAGATAGATAGATAGATAGATAGATAGAAGATTGAAAAAAAACAAAGGAAGATACTGAGATAGATAGATATATCAAATCCGGATAGATAGATTAGATGGAAACATTGAAAAACTTCAGTGCAAATCCGGATATTTATGGAGTCTCAGCATTTTGGTGTCAGTCGATGCAGCGGTAGGGTAAGTCAAACACGATTCTAATCTCAGTACAATAATTTCTGATCCCATAATATCTATTTTCCCCCGGCTATGGGTCAAATATTAAGAGAAACTGGGCCCTTAAACTTTGGTTGGCTATCAGCCTAGGAGAAGCAAAGCTAGGAATTCCCAAATCAGAGTAGATTGGAAACTTGTCTGCGATGATCATTTTCGTTTAACGTGTTAACAAAATGTATATAAAATCTTCATTTTTTTTTATATAACGGAAGTTATGCGTGGATATATATTTTTTTTTTTATATAGCGGAAGTTATTTTGCTAGATTTCCAGTCAGAAGTGGTTAGACTCTGGTTCAGTAAACTTCCGCTGTGTTTCGGCTGGGTGCAGTCTTTTCTTCTTCCTTTTTTCTTATTTGATGGTTGCCTTCTCATGAGATAAGAGAGAAGTATAGAGAGAAAAGTTGAGAGAGAGAGAGAGAGAGAGAAATCGGAAAATTCCATAAAGGATTCTGATTTCTGTAACATTTTAGAATTTTAACAATACTTGCAAGCAGCGAGCAGGCGTTTCGACGTCCCAAAAATATTGTATATTTAATTTTTTTTTTTACTTATTCTAACATTTTTTTTCGTTCGTCAATTTTTTTCTTTCTGTCCATTACGCTTCAATGTTAAAACGGGCGAAAGAAAAAAAATGATTTGTAAAGAGAGAGAGAGAGAGAGCGTGGGAGAGAGGGAGGGAGAGAGAGAGCGTGGGTGAGAGGGAGGGGGAGAGAGAAGAGAGATAGATAGAGAGAGAGAGATATGATATTCCCAATATGAAGAAAAAATAAAATAAAAAAGACGCTAAAATGGAATGGAAATATTTCATATTTTCATTGTTTCTATATTTCCTGTAAGTATAAAAGGTTACGCGAGATTAGTAACGGCAAATGGCGACGATTATAGTTTATGATCCTCTATATCCAATAGTGGCGTCACGCAAGAGTGATATTTGCCAAAAAGTTTCTTTTTTATGCCTATTAAGCCATCAGCACTCGTTACACACACACACACACACAAACATATATATATATATATATATATATAATTTATGTATGTATGTATGTATTAATAATTGGACTCAAAGCAAAGCAATTAACACACTAAGACTCAAGAGGTTACTGAGTTACTCAGTGTGAAGAATATAAGAAAAGGGAAAAAAAATATTAGCGAGCGAGAACAATAAAAGATGAGGAATAAAGAAGACAGTAGATAACGATTGAAATTGCATTAAAATTTTTGAAGATCAAAGTTGACTGGAAAGCAAGAAGCCGGAAGAGAGTTCCACAAGCGAGAAGTGCGAGAAGAGAAAATTACGGTTGCCTCTAGCCATTTTTAACTGTAAAACAATGAGACCCACCCGCCAATCTAGTACTGCGCTTAAATTAACAAAGACTAGGTACCATACAGCAAATTCATCAGAACAATTACCAAGAATGTATTTACAGAAAATGCACAGGGTAGATATGTTATGGCGGTGGGAAAGTGACAGAATCCGATATGTCAGGTCAGAAGCAATAACATGACAGACTGGAATCCTGGCCGGGGCGGGGGTGACTCTTTTTCTTCAATAAGATTTCACGAATATTCAAGTCGGTAGACGAAAATAAATAAATATAATATTTAATAAATAAACCGAGCGTTTACTTAGATATGGGCATCTGCTAAAATAACGTTTAAAGAGATAAAATCTGTCGGCTTAATAAATAAATATCAATCCATTACTTCTTTAGAAATAAAAATATTATTTTGTCTGAACAAGTCCGTTTTAATAACGAAAAACGACATCTACCATTCTTTCTATTTCGTCATTCAATTACCCATTTATTTATATTTATATATATATATATATATATATATATATATATATATATATATATATATATATGAGCGTGCTACATGTAGTTATATGTTGCATAAACTATGTATGCGTGAGTGTGCAAAAATTGACATATAACTAAAATATGTCCGTAAGGGCAGCTTAGATGTGGAATATCCAACGTGGATCGAACGCACTAGTCAGATTTAATCGTTCCAACGAGACAAGCTTGCTAGCCATTTCACCACGTCGTTGTGGCCGAGCGAATTGTCAATATGAATAAAGACAAAAAGAAAAGTTACCTTAACCGACGTATTTCGTCATCTTCTGTTTTTATTCACACACACACACACACACACACGCGCGCGCGCTCGCGCGCACACACGCACATATATAAATAGGTTTAAAAATAGGTAAAATTTTATATATAAATATATATATATATATATATATATATATATATATATATATATATATATAATTGATTTAAAATATATATTTATTAATTACAACGAGATGTTTAAAAAAAAAAGTAAACCCCTAATTTTATTTTTTGCAAAATAAATTAAAAGCATTAGTTCTATTTCATCTTAAAAGAACTGTTCTTTCTTTTTATTTAAACATACATAAATATATTTTGGTTATAATGTGGATTGTTTAAAAAAAAAATGCTTTATTTTCCATAATTTTGCTACACGAGTTTCTGGTCTCGCGTTTTTCATCAGGCAAAGCGTGGAGATTTCCGCATATTATTAAAAATAATTAAATTTTCCTTATGTTTTTCAATGTTAAATATTCTCGATATCTTTTTGTGTGTTAGTGACCCAAATGTCTTTTTTTATATAAAGGGAAGAATTTATAGTAGTTCCAACGAGAATATATTTTTAGAAAAAATCCACATTACAACGAAAGACGATTCCGGTTTCTCTCTTCTTTTTATATATATATATATATATATATATATATATATATATATATATGCGTGTGTGTGTGCGTGTGTGTGTGTGTGTGTGCGTGTGTGTGTGATATCTTTATTCAAGCATATTTGGTTGAATAATCTAGACATATTATGTCCATTTTATTTTAATCATCTGAATTTTACAGATCAATTTCTTCGTGTTGTTAGTAAATTTGATTAAGGAAGACATCGTAGTTTTGACTATTTCTTTTATTTCCCCAAATACTTTCAAGATCATCTTCCAGGGTGAATTGCTAAGAAAAATAAAATAAAAATGCATAGACATTATATATATATATATATATATATATATATATATATATATATATATATATATATATATATATATAACGTTTGTTCCTCTGAGGGACTTTATCAAGCTAAGATAAGTTTTCTTTTTGTCTTTATACATATTGTCCTTCTACAGATATACTCTATCTGAAGTTTCATACACACACACACATACACATACACACACACACACAAGCATATATATATATATATATATATATATATATATATATGTATGTATACATATATATATATATGTATGTATATATATATATACATACATACATACATATATATATATATATATATATATATATATATATATATATATATATATATATATATATATATATATGTACAAATTAAGTCAAGATAAATATATCATGTGATAGATGCAGGAAAGAAAAAAAGTAAATATGTATAAAACTAAAGAAAATATGACAGCGTTTACGATAGAAGTAGATACGGTCAAAGAGAGAAAAGACGAAAGAAAGATTGACTGCATCATTGAGTCAGAAAGATAGAGGGAGAGGGGGAGAGAGAAAGAGAAAGGGAAAGAAAGTGGTGGAGAGAAAAGGGAGATGCTGTGTAGGTAAATAAACATTTATAAAAATAATGATCTGCCTCTGAACGGTTTTGAAATATTAGCCTGAAGGAACACACACGGAGAGCGAATAAGATATGTAATACGCATGCGCGCACACAAACGTTCTTCCGACATAGGAATTTATAGCAGTGTCGTTATTCACGCATAGATACTTACTGAGTTCTTTTTAGGCTGGCACAAGATTACGAATGTGGGGAACTCGGAGACGATTGAGCTGACTGTATTAGTAATGATTTGATAGTTTTTGATAGTTTAGACGTCTAAGAAATTGAGAGTGTGCGTGTGTGTGTGTATGTGTGTGTGTGTGAGAGAGAGAGAGATAGAGAGAGACGGAGAGTTGGGAGAGAGCAGGACTGTCGTGAAGTATAATGAAAGTAATTTTCTGATAACTGCTAAGGCGAAGCGCCATTTCTCTTGTAAAGTATGCGATGGATAAATTGTCGTCTAAATTACGTAAAAATGAAAATAACCTAGACATCCCATTTTAACAGACATATTTACCAAATTACACAAAAATAACTTGAAATACTAAAGAATAAATTCATTCAATAAATTCGCCATTGGCTTCAACCGCAGTCTGCAGACGACTTCGGAATCCCTTGCAACGCTTCTGGATGGTCTTCTGGATTGGTGAACGCGGCCATAATCCTCGCTTTCAGTTTAGTGTTACAAGGAGTTTTGTTGGTCTCCCGATCAACTCTCTGGGGAGATAGCTAGCCAGATGTAAGGGATGATGTGGCCGCAGAAATTGTCCGACATGACTGGGTTCTCCTGCTTGTGTAGTATGATGCAGAGTTCTGTTGCCAGACGTTGTGTCTTCCAGCAGCCACTCTCCTGGCCGAGAGCAGCACTAACCCCTCAAGGCACTTGATGTAGGCCTCAGTGTTGAGTCTGAGGACCTGTGAAAAGATGTATGGAGGCATAACGTCTCCATCACTAGTGATCACTTCAAATATCTCAAAGAATCTTCAATGTTATTGATTCTCACCTACCATCACGGTTTCAGTCTCTTTCCCACCGGCGTAACATAGCTTCCCTCTGCCTTTTCTAGAAATACTTTCATTGGTAATTGTTCTGATGATCTTTCCATTATGGTACCTAGACGTTATGAATTTAAGCGCAGTACTAAAGTCTTATCGTTTTACAGTTGGAATGGCTAGATGTAACCGCAAGTTCTATGCTAACAGTTTCTTTTCTCGCACTTCTCGCTTGTGGAACTCTCTTATGGCTTCTTGTTTTCTTATCAACTCTGATCTTGATAAAAGTTAAATGCAATGTCAACCGTTTTTTACTCTCTACTTGATTCTTTTTTTTATTGTTCTCGCTGATTTTTTTTCTTATTCTTTCAAAGTCAATAACCCCTTGTGTCGTAGTGGCTTTATTGCCTTGCTTGGGGTGAAATAATTAAAAAAAAAAAAAAAACTTGCGATGTTGGGCGAAACAGCTCCAAGCGCGGGTTAGTCTGTTTTCCATTTTCTTATCTCCCCTACTAAATATGTTATAACTGATTTTATATTCTGTAAAATAAGGATGGATACAATAGATATGAACTAGTGATTTCTTTTACTTTGCACCAAGAGGAGAATAAAAAAAAAATATTTGAAGTGAATGCGGATTTATCGTTTTAATTGGTTTAATGTCTTTTCCATCTTCACCATTAGAAATTGAAGAACACTGATGTTAAAGCTTCTTTACCAGATATGTGTACTTTTAAACGCACCCACTTCGCTACCGATTGTGACACAAGGTCAGTTTAAAGTGGGCTTCAAAAGCAATACCGTGGAGAAATTGCCTACCAACCCTCGGCATTTCCACTTTTGGGAACGACTCAGGCGCCGGACAATAATCCCAGTCCCCTTCCGAAGGAGCGGTACTTCCGCTGGGGGAAGCCCCCCTGGAGATTGGGCTTAATATGTTTTGAAACTTCTAGAAAAAAAAAAAACATTTCCTTGTATTCCCCTATTTTACATGTACGACTTTGTAGTTCAAAATAATTGATCACAGTAAATCCAGCCCCCCCCCCTCCCGAAGGAGAAGTACTGCCGGTGGAGGTGGGCTTTATGTCTTTTGAAACTTCTCGAAAAACATTTGTTTGTATTCTTCGGTTTTACATGCACGAATTTTATAGTTTAAAATAATTGTCCACAATATACCTAGCCCCGCCCCCGGAGGCGAGGTACCCCTGGGGTGTGCCCCTTGGGGTGAGCCCCCCTGAGGCGAGGCACCAAAGTATGGGCTTTATGCTTTTTTTTTTTTTTTGATAAACTTCTTGAAAAACATTTGTTTGTATTTCTCAGCTTTACATGTAAGACTTTATCGTTGAAAAGAAATGACCACAATAAACTCAGCCCCCACTCGAAGTAGAGTAGAGGTGGGGGGGATATATGGTTTTTGAAACTTCTCGAAAAAACATTTGTTTGTACTCTTTGGTTTTACATGCACGAATTTTATAGTTCAAAATAATTGTCTACAATATACCCAGCCCCGCTCTTGAAGGAGAGGTACTGCCTGGAGTGAGGAACTTTGGGGCTTAGGATTAATATTATTGAGACATCGCGAGAATTCCTCAGTTTTACACCTTGTTTGACATTTGTAGCACAAAAGAATTGAGCACATTTCTTTTAGATAGGTGCATATAAATATTTATTTATATTCTAATAAACACTGTGACATTCAGTACTTAGAGATGCAACAATAAATTATATTTCCGTATAGTGACGAGATACATCAAGTGATTCGTTTTATACGATTTATCAACCATTTGTAGGATTATTTAAAGCCAGAAAATATATATTTTTAGATTTTCTTTTCCTGGTTATAATGGAATTTTATTGAAAGTTCTTTTAATGTTGCTGTTCAATTCCATAGTTGTTCCTCTAATATCTAAAGTTGGTCCTTCAACGTCTTAGGATGGTATCCTTCTGTTTGTTCTAGATAAAAAAAAACTAATTCCATAACATTTATTATCCTTTTAAAAATCTAATTACTGTGATGTCTAACACAGGAATAAATAACATGTCCATCTTTGATTTAGTTTTCTTAATTTCCACCATTGTTATAAAATATCAACTCTTTTAGATATGATAATGCTTAAACCCATTAACTGCCAAATGTTTTTAATGCGCATTTTTTTTGACCCAGACTGGTGTCTTAGGAGTTTATTTATTCATTATGTTTAATTTCAGTAGTTACCATTGTCATTTTTATAGAAACTAGAACATTAAATATATATGTGTATAAAACATCCCAAAATAATATTGATTAGAAATAATAAAAAAATACTTTTCAAAATAGTCATTATTTTTCTACTCTCGAAATGCAAAATTACGACAGAAAGTGTCTTCTTACGGCTAATAACAACTTTAGAGGCTAAGTGTTGTAAAATATACCTCTGCAAATGCAATGTATGTAAGCAATTCAATGTAAATACAAGAAATAACATGTAGTGAGTTTAATTTTAACAGATCCCCAAATGGGGCTCATGGCAGGTAATGGGTTAAATAAAAGAAATTTTTAAATAGAGTTTTAAACATCTTAATAGAAATTCGTGGAACTCTCTTCCGTTTTTTTTTTTTTTGCTTTCCAGAAAGCAACAGTTGAAATTTCTGTAAGAGCATTCTTAGGAAAACTGAAAAATAATCTAAGGAAAAATCGTTAATATAACAATCTTGTTATTTAGAAACGCTCTAGCTAATTAAGAAAAGAAATTAGAAATTACTACAATGGATATTGGAGGAGTGGTGATGACTTTTCCAATTGCCAACCTTTAAGAATTGGCAACGTCTTATTTAAAAGTTTCGAAATGCCGCCAATCGCCTATAAAGATTGTACCATCGGTGCAGTTAATATTAGAAGACTTGTGATTAAAGACAAGCAGGAATTATTGGTTCTGAACGTCGATAGTTCTAACATTGATGTATCTTATCTCCAAGACATCCAAGTCGAAAAAGGAACTGTTATTCATATCGGAGTTTGACAGCAGAAGTTAATTGCACTGGAAATATTAAATATCATGGAAATACTTTTGTCATTAGTACCAAATGGAAGAATAAAATCGATAGAAAATGAATAAACAACATTGTTATACACACTGCACAATGAAATTAAAAGAACTATCAATAAATATCCATCGATCTCCGTAAAATCGTTGACGGGCTTGAAAGGCCTGCTGCGCTTTTTGTGAGTTAGCACAGGATATAAAGGTTTTTGGAAATAAATTATAAATTTTATAAATTTTAATTTAATTCTATATCTTCTTTTACGTCAAAATAACATGAATTATCATTTGAATTATACGCACCCACTATTTTCTTCAGATAAGACTCCTTATGTTGCTCAACATAATTTTCTTAGATTTTATTTTTCTATATCACATCACCATATTTACGTTTATCATAACATCTTTCCTCAGTACAAATCTCCTTGATTTCTTCCCGGAAGTTAATTTTTAAATTCTATTAATCTTCTTCAGATGTTCGTTGTCTTGAAGGCACGCAGCAAATCAGTAACTTTGTAAATAATCCTTATCCGTTCTCCCCAAAACCTTTCTGTCCTGTCCTAACTCACAAAAGGGCTACAGGTCCTTTAATCTCTTCCATATATTTACGAGAAATGATTGAACTTTTATTTTTAAATTCTATTCATCACCTTCAGAAGTGTTTTGACTTGAAGGCGCACTGCAAATTAGTAACTTTGTAAATAATCCTTATCCGTCCTCTCAAAACCTTTCTATCCTGTGCTAACAAAATGAGCTACAGGCCTTCCAAGCTCGTTCACGATTTTACGGAGATCGATGGATTTTTATTGATAGTTGTTCAGTGTATATGACAATGTTATTTGTCCATTTTCTATGGATGTTATTCTTCCATTTGGTACTCATGACAAAAGCATTTCCATAATATTTAATGTTTCCAAGCCTATTTTTCGATTTGGGTTTCTTGGAGATAAGATACATCAATGTTAGAACTATCGACGTTCAGAACCAATAATTCCTGATTGTCTTTAATCACAAGTCTTCTCGTATTAACTGAACCGATGGTACAATCTTTATAAGCGATTGTAAGCATTTCGAAACTTTTAAATAAGACGTTGCCAATTTTTAAAGGTTGACAATTGGAAAAGTCATTATATCTCCTCCAATATCCATTGTAGTAACTTCTAATTTCTTTTCCTAATTAGGTAGAGCGTTTCTAAGTAACAAGATTGTCATATTAACGATTTTTCTTAAATTATTTTTCAGTTTTTCTAAGAATGTTCTTACAAAAATTTCAACTGTTGCTTTCTGATTTGAATCCATTTGCTAGGTCAGCTGCTAAGAAAGTCGTTTCATTGTGTCGTGCGAGACAGTTTTACTCTCCAGAATCTATCTTAAATACCTATAAGTCTACCATTCATCCAAGATTAGAATATTGCTGCCACATTTGGACCGGTACCCCTACTGTTTACCTTGAGCTCCTTGATAAAATCAAAAGAAGAACCAGCAATATTATTGGTCCTGATCTGGCAGCTCGGCTTCCGTCACTTTCTCACCGCCTCTCTGTGTCTTTTTCTATCGATCCTATCATGGTAAATGTTCGGATAAACTCTTCGCTATGGTACCTAGAGTTTTGAATACTTAGACCGGTGTCAAGATCTCGTCAATTTACACATGAGCTGGCTAGATGTAAAGGTAAATTCTATACTAACAGTTTATTTTCTTACACTTCTTGCTTGTGGTAATCCTTTCCGGCTCTATGCTTTCCGGCCAACTTTAATCTGCAAAAATTTAAATGCAATGTCAATCACTATCTCCTGTCCTGCTGATTATTTTTCTTCTGTACTCGCCCTTAGTGGGGTTTATTTTTTCAGTAAGGTTTACCCGGCAAGAGGCCAGGTACCAATCGAGGTAGAAGGTTACAATAACAGGTTGTTTGTCAGGGCAAAAGAACTCCCCCTTGGACCAGAAACCTCGTACGCGTTAGTGACCTAACGTACCAAAGCAAGCTCGCTCATATACATGCAGACTAAAAGACCCATTGGGTGCAGTTTTTTTTTTAATTCTTCCACATTTTGTAACCCTTTGTATCTCAGTGAATCAATGCCTTGCTTTGGGTGAACTTGCTTTAAAAACCGTATAAGGATCCTTTTTTTCATCTCCTTAAAATCTCATTACTCACATGTTCAGTCTATGGTATTCTCACTATCCTTCTGTAGAACCATATCTCTGCTGCCTAAAGTCACTTCATCATTGAGGAAAATGCCTAACATTCACTGTTATATAAAAGAACAAATGCACAGTCAAACCCTCTTTTCTTTCTTTCTAAAAAAATTATTTCTGTTTCTGAATATTTTGCTTAGCTGTTGGAAAGCGTCTTTCACTATTCAAATGTGTCTTCGGATTGCGGCGTCACATTTTCCGTCCTCGGTTCAAACACTTTCCAGATATTAAAAATTTTTCTTTGAGTCTATTCGTAAACAATATTCGAGTTTATGCTTAATACCAAAACCCAAGTGCTCAACTTTATATCATTTCCCCAAACCTACCCCATTGCCGGTTTCTTCATTTTAGGTGATTGGCACCATTTAAAATCCATAATAGTTCTTTCTAATGGGGTGCATGTAACAAACATCACAAGATTTGGCGCTAAAATCTTCCATCCTCCTTAAAAGTCAAAACCTTTCGAACACCGATTGAAACAGTCCTACTTGTATGGATCAGAAACTTGGACATTATCCGTTCGTCTTGAAAGACGACTGGATGGAGCATATATAAATTTACTTAGAAAAATCCAGAACACCAGTTGAAGATCCTATGCAACGCTTAACACAATTTACGTAGAACTAAGACAAATCTCTCTTAAGCTCAAACAAAAGCGATTACAGTTTGCCAGCCACTGCCAGCGAGTGGACAGGGTAATCGTCTCATCCTTACTTCTATGGCGTCTTTCTGTAGGGGTCTTCTTGCGAAAGATGACTTTCCCAGACACCATAGCTCGGGTTGAACATTGGGGATCTGGTAACAGCAATACAGGACCGAGCAGTGTGAAAAGGGATTGTTAATGGTGTTCCGACCAACCATAGGGAGGTCGAAGGATGATGATACTGAAAATCCATAAAATCATATCCCTACGAGTGACAAAGTAAATAGGTCTTTTCATCTGTACATTTGATTCTATCTACTGTGAAGGATGTAGACACAATTTCGTGCGGAGGGTAAACCTGAATATTCGCTCTTTATCTTTTGAGTTTAATGAAACATTCACAGTAACAATGGGAAAACAATTGTGTCTTTTTTAAGCTGAAATCATCGTCGCATTAAGAAAGACAAACTTTTTGGGCGGGGAAATGTTAGGATCTTTATGTTAATTTACAGGGAGTCGCAGTTTCTCTTCTGTCCACTCAGTCGACTAAATGGGCGCAGCATATCCACATAAACACACATATACTGAGTCAGGCACAAGAACACCCCCACACACACAACGACCAACACAGGATGTCCCCCTTCGGGCCCAGTGAGTTCTTTTCCTATCTGCAGTCTTGTGCCAAACTTAACAATGACGATTTCTTGTACAAGTAAATACTGTCTCTTTGATAAACGTTAGTGCAATAATAGACTTCCGTTCTTTCTTGCTTTCTTTCTTTCTTTCTTTCTTTCTTTCTTTCTTTCGTTTTGTTCTTCTTTTGCTATTTTGTTCTTTATATTTCTTTCTTTCTTTAATTCATTCTTTCTGTCTTTATTGTTTTCCATTTTTTCTTTTTCTTTCTTTGTATTTTTTCTTTCTTTTTTCCTTTCTTTTTTACTGCTTTCTTTCTTTAATTCAATCTTTCTGTCTTTACTCTATTTTCCATAATTCTTTCTTTCTTTCTTTATATTTTCTCTTTCTTTTTTCGTTCTTTAATTCTTTCTTTCGGTTTTTACTGTTTTCCATAATTTTCTTTCGTTCTTTCTTTCTTTCTTTCTTTCTTACTTCCTTTCTTTCTTTCTTTCATTTTCCCTTTCTTTTCCTTTCTTTTTTATTGCTTTCTTTCTTTAATTCATTCTTTCTGTCTTTACTCTATTTTCCATAATTCTTTCTTTCGTTTTTTTTTTCTTTGTTCTTGTATTTCTTTTCTTTTCGAGTACCCAAATTTTCTCTCTACCAAAAACGAAAGTATAGTTTTTAGACTCTCCGCGCCTAAAATACGTATAAGTAATTACACGCTTAAGCACAAAAGAAGAAACGAATATAATCCAAGATACATTGTCAACTCTTTTTCTCTCTCTTTCTTCTTCCTCTTTCTCTCTTTTGTGTCAATTTGATTCCAAAGTATGCGGTGAAACGAAGAGCTTTGACTTGTTATTTTTAAGTCTATCCGTACCGGTAAATATATGACCGCCATATTTAAGTAATTTCACAATTTCATTTGGCTCATAAAATATCAGAATCTTTTATTGTGTTTTCTCATTTACGTTCAGTACTTCCTAAATATTAAAAGTAAACAAATAATATTACATTTCCTTGTTTATGTTTGCAAAAGTAGATTGCCAGTGTACTCCCTGTTCTGTTATATGCAATGATCGCCATGACCATTGGTCAAATTGAGAGGGTCAGAGACAGAGCGCTCAAAGTGTTGGATGTCTTAGCGAAGCGTATTTGTTTGAAAGTGATGGTAGCAGTTTTCACCTAAGGTTCGAACGCAGTACATTTGATACCACTTTCTGGATTGTACTGTAATAACACATGATACTCTCAAATAAAGCATAAATATCATATAAAAAAATAAGAAAGTTAATAGTTAAAAGATTTACATGAAATTGTCTTTATATGAAATTTTAAGATGAGAAAATATTATTATGCAAGACAAGATTTAAAGTGCTAAATCCCTTCAGGACGTAGGCGAATAGGACGCAGAACAGATTCTTTTTTTTTAAACTGTGAATTGCCATGATATTTGGAAAGTAGATTCCCGTTATTTTCTCCACGGGCGCGAAAAAACTTCAAAAGAAGTCTTGGAGTAAATACCTACTGAGAATTGCAAGAAGCGTATAGATGACTACAAAAAACATTTGAAGGCAGTTATCATCACCAAAGCGGATAAAACGAAATATTAAGTGGTGCCTTTATTATCATCCATATCATTTATTTTTATTTTTCATTTTTCAAACTGCAACATCTAAGTTGAACAAGTATTCACAGAGAACCCTCCCTGCCTCCCATTAGAATGTATGATGTTCAACTCCACGAGAGCACCTATTTGCGAATGTTTCGTCTTACACTGTCTGCTGACCTGTGATGGAACAATGACATTAAATCAATAGCTTCATCCACCGCAAGGAAAGTTAGTTCTCTGTGTCACGGCAGAAGGTTTTTATCGCCCGAGTCTATCCTTCAAATCTATAAATCAACCATTCGCCCTTGCATGGAATACTGCTGCTATATATGGTCTGGAATCCCCGCTGTTCGTCATAAGGTCTTCGACAAAATCCAGAGACGGATATGCAATGTGTTTGGACCTGATCTGGCATCTCGTTTACAGTCGCTCTCTCACAGACGTGCCATCGCCTCCCCCTGTCTTTTCTACAAAGATTTTCACGGTAATTGCTCCGACGAGCTACTTTCGCTAGTTCCCAAACTGCATGAATTTAAACGTGCCACTAGGTCGGCATCTCAGTCCCACCCTTTCACTGTCGAAGCTGTTAAATGTAGCTGTCTCTTCTACTCCAATAGCTTCATGTCTCGCACTTCCCGTCTGTAGAATTCCCTTCCTTTTACTACCTTAGCTATAATCTCCAACTATTCAAATGCAATGTCAATCGACATCTCCAGATGCCTTGATCTATTCCCCGTCCTTCGCTTCATCCTTTCCTCTTTCACGCATCTTTACTCTTGCTCCCACTCTCTGTAACCCCTTGCTTGCTAGTGGCACTCCCGTCTTGCTAGGGGTGAAAAGCTTAAAAAAAGGAAAAAAAAGGGGGACTAAATTACTTTGGACAACCAATTAAGAAACTCCGAGGATATAAATTTGGTTATTTCCTACTTATTTCTGATTGTACGTCCCATTCAGTGGTTCGCGTGGTTAAAAAGAAAGAGCCGGAATTTCGAATGCTGATTTTCTCGGTAAGTAGATGTTTTTAAGTTGAAAGGTTGACGTAACACACTCTTTCTAGTCATTTTATCCCCATTTGGCATCGTGCAAGGTCAAACTTGATAAGATATCGGGTTTAATTATGACATGGCTGAATAATTTCTTAAGAACATATTAAAGAATTGGATTTCCAACCTGGGCGGTATCTCCTCCGCCCCTCGACGTGGACGACGGAAAGATACCAGGGGTAGGGCAAGGGGGTGAAAAACAGCGATTGGAGAAAAGAGTAGGGATAGGAAGGTGATATTAGAGCAAAGTAACTTTTTTTACAAATTTCCGATGAAAAACTTAAGTCACACTTAAGAAGCACGTTGGCTTTACGAAGAATAAAAATTATGTATCCACAAACACATGGTTTTATCTTATTTTGTTATAATCGCCTGGTTCATAATCCTCCCATATCTTTTGAACAGGAATAGACTTTTATTACTTGTTCCTGGTTTAGGACTGGGTTTCCGGTTCTTTCTAAAGTCTTCTAAAATCATTTCATTATCGTTCACTCCCAGTAACCCTGTGCGCCTTAGTGGCATTATCGCCTTTGTTAGAGTGCATAGATTTTTTAAAAAAATGTTCGAATATTTGCTTGTAAATTGTTAACATGGTCTGGACAGGGTGCCCCACACACCAACCAGATCAGCCGCGGTCTCTGGGTTAGCAAGTGTTGCGATATTGCCAGTGATATTCATCTATCTATCTATCTAGCCCTTTTTCGTGTAATCTATCTATCTATCTATCTATCTATCTATCTATCTATCTATCTATCTATCTATCTATCTATCTATCTCTTTTTCGTGTAATCTATCTATCTATCCCTTTTTCGTGTAATCTATCTATCTATCTATCTATCTATCTATCTATCTATCTATCTACACTCTTGGGCAAATTGATTGAAACAACCGCTTTAGTTTGCTTTCTTTCACTATACGGCCAGTTTTTGACCCACTGTATTGACAAGGTGTAATCAATTTCTATTTTTTCCTTGGATTAAGTCATTTGCATTGGTGTGCAATGAATCTATTTTCGGGGTGCATGATGAAAATTGTTTGGCCTTGAAAAATATTGTGTCATCCGTGATTGCATCAGATTTTTATCACGCCCAGACACTATTGTCTTGACTGTTATTAGTTGTCCTACAGCCGTTGTCTGTGATGGACGTTACTCCAAGATGTTCAGAGTGTTGTCTTCGTCTTCATTGCCATATTCACGGCGTTTCGGCCGTTGTAAGCTCCGGCATTTTTCAGGATATGTTTATATTTCTGAGATAAGGAATTGTAATTATTTATACTATTTACATTCTTCGGACTGTTGTCCTCATCTTCGTTGCCATATTCACGATATTTCGGCCGTTGTACGCCCCAGCCTTCTTCAGGTGATTGGAATTTCGAACTGAGTCGTGCCATCCCTCTTCTGGATATCTCAGTTATCTCCCTTTAACACAACAACTCTTCAAGTTCTTGTTCATCACTGCAGTAGCCAGGAGTTATGAGTTCAATAAGAACTTGGAGAGTTAAGTTAAAAGAAGATAACTGAGATATCCGGAAGTGGCATAACACGTGGAACTAGAACAATCTATCTCCGGTGAACGAAATATATGGTTCAGTTCGAAATCACCTGACGAAGGCCGGAGCGTAGAACGGCCGAAACGTTGTGAATCATACTTATTATAAAACCCAGGTTTTTTTTGTGTGTGTGTGTGTGTCTGTATCTTTATATATTGGATCGGATTTCCTACATTTTTCAACCGATTTCAACAAAACTTCACAGGACTACGTAAAATTACCTTGCGGTGGTTCTGACAGCGCCAAAAAAGCCAGTTCAGCCTCTAACACGCAAGGGGTTACAGGGTGTGGGGGAATTAGGAACAGAGGTGTTAGTAATGGGGAGAAAGAAAAAAGTGCAATCAGGAGGACTGTTGATAGCGATTGACATTGTATTTAAATTTTAAAACAAGATATTGATACGATTATTAGAAAATGTCTTGTGGTGTCCTCCCTCTAAAGAGTCTATGTTGGACACTTCCGCCTACTACATTAGTAGCAGAGAAGGCCTTGGGGGAACAGTTGAATAGATTGAACGCTGGGTCAACCGACACACACTCACTAGTCGTGTAATACTCTTCTGTTGTACTTACTGTTTAATCTCTATCTATAAAAGGCAGGATGTATGTGTGTGTGTGTGTGTGTAACGAATGCACGGCCGCAATTTTCGACGGATTTGTGCCAAAATTTACATGCACATGCTCCAAGTTAACGGGAAGGCCAAGACTGGCTTTGCATTTCCCAACTCCAATCGATAGTGGAAATAATCGATTTTTCATGCTTCTACGGCTGTTTTCATGTAGCTTGCGGCCATTTTCTACTGGCCATAATGAGAGCCTATAGCTGGCTGCCACGAATAGGCAGGAAGATTCTATTGGCCAGCGTGAGAACCAACAGCTCACTGACACGAATGTTAACTAGCATGCTAGCATGCAAAAAAAATCGATAGCTGCATTCGTCACAAGTGGGAAAAATTTAAATCTGCATGGCACTTTACTCCAATTGGCTCATTCACTTGCTTAAACTCAACGTTGATTCTGATTCTGCAGAACTGGACTGGGAGTGACAAAGTATTTGTTGTTAACATTCTTTTTTCATTCGGTTTTTCCAATTACGAGTTCTTTTTTTTAAAGCTGATCGTTTTGTGTTCATTTTGTTTAGTTCTTTTTTCGTAACAGATTTAATGTTTAGTATAGAGCTTAGAAAAAATTCTCAGTGTGAGATAGGCAAGAAGTAAGGCATGTAGCAACATCAGCAGGGCAAAGGGCACTCCTTTAAAGGCAAGGAAGGGCAAAAATATTTTAAGTCAAGTGATAGCGATTGCTGTATGAGTCGTACGATTTTTGAATCAAGCACGGGCAACGTCGGGTCATGCTGCTAGTATATGATATATCTGCAACCCTGATTTTGTTATTTCTTAACCATTTACTTGGTCACAACAGTAACTGAAAATCCTTTTCTTATGTGTGACGTGTCCCTTCAGGACGCTGGCGATCATGACTCTCCACAATTTCTTGTCCTTAATAACTTTTGTCTTTTGCAATCTTTCCCAAACCCTACTCCGTCATCCATTTACTCAAGATCACTAAGTTATGCGTTGCTTTCCTCTGTCCCACTTGCCTTCAATCTATCCTTTTAGTATCAGATTATCCTCCTTATGTGCTGCAGAAATTTCAACAGTCTCTTCTTGATGTTAAGCATACCTCTTTTTTTGTTGCCATTATCTCTAGAACCTCGTCGCTGCTCCCATGTTGGGTCTATGATATTCTCAGCAGCCTTCTGTAGAACCACATTTCAGCGGCTTCAAGTCTCTTCTTCAACTTTTGCCCTCAATCTGTCCTGTGAGTATCAAACTTTTCAAGCCCTCTTTCGGCACCGGAAATTTCAACTATCTCTTCCTAATGTTAAGCATAAGTGTTCCTCTCGTTTCCATTTTCTCTAAATGGTCAGTTTCATGTTATTTTCAGCCCTAAATAAAGCGTAGCTTTCTGCTATATCTCCCGTTCTGCCAACCATTTACACAAGCTCATTAGGTAAATTTTTCACTGCTTTTCTTCGGAATATGTGACCGTCAAGTTTCAACCCACTCTGACAAGTATAAGTGTCTATTTTGTTGTCATTTTCTCTAAAATTCAGAAAATGAACAACGCCTATGCTGAAAAAACTTGGCGTTTTTAATTGAACTTTTAAAATTTTTTTTTTCAAGTGGGGAATGTAAAAAAAAGATAAATGAGTAAAAATAGAGTTACGTCCCCTTTTCATACACTTCTGTTGGCCCACTCCAAAGATTTCTTTTGAACATCGTTCCCATGTAACCGTGACAGGTGTGATCAAAAAAAAAAAAAAAAAAAAAAAAAGAAAAGAAGGCGGATGTTGGTACTCGCCTTGTTTGTTAGGCGTTGCAGTGAGTGCGCACGGATCACCGTTCAACAATATCCGTATCTCGTGTGACACCGGTTCTTGTAAGTGCGGACAAAAGACTGGAATAGGCAGCGGGCCCTTATCACTGATGCAGCGATGAAGTGGAGGCAGACATCACTAGTTTCTCCTTTCGCTTTTTCTATCAAGATTTGGCCACTTGCTTTGATGCTGTTGAATATTTTCCTGCCTTCTAACAGAAGTTCAACTGTTTTTGTCGTTGGAAACGCGCTGATCGAAACACAGTCTTCTTCAGGAACTTTCTCTGACATACTTTTCAACAACGAAAACCTCATTATACATATTTTGGTGACCCCCCCCCAAAAAAAACAAAGCAAAGGTTCTATCTATCTATCTATCTATCTATCTATCTATCTATCTATCTATCTATCTATCTCAGTTTGTTCATCACTTTATCTCAGTCTTTTCATATCTATCTATCTATCTATCTATCTATCTATCTATCTATCTATGTTCATATCTTTTTATCTATCTCAGTCTGTTTCTTTCCATCTATCTTCCTCTGATCATTTATGTCTATCTATCTATCTATCTATCTATCTATCTATCTATCTATCTAAGTTTGTTCATATCTATTTATCTATCGCATTCTGTTTCTATCTATCTTCGTCTTATCATTTCTGTCAGTCTGTCTATCTTCGTCTGATCATTTCTATCTATCTATCTATCTATCTATCTATCTATCTATCTATACATATGTGTGTGTGTCAGTTCTATCTAATTCAGTTCAATATCTATCTCATTTTATTCAATATCTATCTATCTATCTATCTATCTATCTATCTCGTCCTGTTCAATATCTATCTATCTCTTCCTGTTCAATATCTATCTATCTATCTATCTATCTATCTATCTATCTATCTATCTATCTATCTCACTCTATTCAGATCCATCTATCTGGAGAGAGAGAGAGTGGGGTGTAATATAGATAAAGGCAGTTATTTATAGTGAACATAAATAATTATATCGGATCTAATAAAAATCTTTTATCAAAATGGCCTACCCTATATATTTTAGACCAGAGCTCCGTAAGGTCCCATTTAAACTAGCATGGAAATGTACCAACGTCGATAAACACCATACTGGCGAACACAAAAATGCAAAATATGTGCAAAAATATTTGAAACCCTTATATTTAAAAACAACATATAGCAACATCATTATAATGCTTTGTACAGACAACGAATGTCTATTATGTTTGACCATGTACCGTTCTAAGTTTCGTATAGTGGCTTTAGTTTCGGGAGAAAATAAAGACAAAAACTGTCCAACATTTGGATATTTTTTATTATGCTGTTCTTCGATCTAAGCTTTCGGCTCACATGAGCCATCATCAGAATGGTTATATAGCCATTACAACAGAGATGTTCACCATCAAAGATGACATCCTGTTATGTTTACATAGAAGTTTGCTATGCGAAGATATTGGTGGCGGAATAGCAGACGCAGGTCACTAATTTATAATGCGGTTCTATGACGTCGTACATGATCACGTGAGAGAAAGAAATGTTATCAACAGAACCATATGTGAACATCTCTGTTGTAATGTCTATATAACAAATTCTGATGTTGGCTGATGTGAGCCGAAAGCTTAGATCGAGGAACAACATAATAAAAAATATCCAAGTGTTGGACAGTTTTTGTCTTTATTTTCTCCCGAAATTAAAGCCGCTACACGAAGCTTAGAACGGCTCATTATAAAATATAATAAGCATTTGTTGTCTGTTATATTTAACAATATATGTTTGATTATCTATCTATCTATCTATCTATCTATCTATCTATCTATCTATCTATCTATCTATCTATCGATCCACACACACACACACACACACACACACACACACACACACACACACACACACACACATATATAGTGAACATAGAAGTTAGAGGCGACAGTCTGTTTCATGCTATCGTGGCCTGACGATTGCATATAGCATGAAACAGACTGTCGCCTCTAAGTGTTGACTTCTATGTTCACTTTTATATTTACACACGCCTATCTCTGATATTGATCCCATAGCACACCTTAAGACTATAGTTCTTAATATATATATATATATATATATATATATATATATATATATATATATCAATTACTAATTGCATTGAAGAGTTTCATGTAAAAAAATTAGCAAGCAGAAATTCTGATTATTTCCGCTTGATGATTCTTGTTACATGAAACTCTTCAGTTGCGAATTGGTATTATTGAATTGACATATATATATATATATATGTATATATATATATATATATATATATATATAGCGAGTGTAACTGAAAAATTATTAGATTAAGCTTGAACCGTTGTATGTTAGAAATGATTAAAGATATCTTTCTGGAATTCTCCGATGTTTTTATAACACTATTAGATTCTACTTTGAACAATAAGAATGTATTTAGCTCTAAGATGAAATACTGATCCCATTTGTTGGTGTGACCTCCTGATCCAGTTTTCTTCGCTACTGTTCCCTCTTTCCCTCGTTTTTAAACTTATTCACTGTTCTGTTGATGGTTCTTGGATGGCCTGAATGATCTATTTCCTCTCACTATTGCTCAGTTGGGAAGATATAGTGGGGCTGACAAAACGATTATAAACTGTTCTCTTTAGCTGAATAACTGAAAGAGATTTTCAGTGATTCTTACAACAAATAGTGTCACGATGGCTAAACATCTTATTTGAATACGTGTAAGAGAAGAAACTTAATTAATCTAGTGTCTTTTAGACATTAAACATTTTGTGTGAAGGACAATTATGCTGTTACAATTGTGTATATATATATATATATATATATATATATATATATATATATATATATATATATATATAGTGAATATTGAAGTCAACACTCAGAGTCGAGCATAAAACAGCCTGTCGCCTCTGAGTGTTGACTTCAATGTTTACTTTTCTATTTATATTTTCATACGCTCTATCTCTGATATTGAGCACTTTATCCCATAAATATAGAACACCTTAAAACTATATTTCTTCATATATATATATATATATAATTTCTAAATGAATTGCCCATGAAAAATGACCGACCACTAAAAGTTTCATGCATTTTCACGCAATCCTCAGATAGACGTCAAATGTTATTTGTGATAATGGGCCTTTTATTCGGCTTGGGTAAAAAACGGATGAAACGCTCGTATTTAGTCGATCAAGAACAGAACACAACATGAAATTCTGGCAGTTTTTATCTGAATATAAAAAAAATATTTATAATTTAAAAATTGTGAAGATGCAATAAAAATTAAATAAATCATGTGGATTTAACTTAAAACAAATTTCCTTAAAATGAACTGCACTTGCCTAAATATACCATTTTCTAACTGGAAGGTGTATGCCTGACACCTCTTTTATCTAACGGGTTACAAAAAGATATTTGAATTCTATCTTGTAACTTTGTTAGACGGCGAACAGAAAAAAAGAAAAGAAAAAACAAACAAACAAAGAAAAAACAAAGAAAAAATAAATAAAGAAAAAAAAAAAAAAAAAATGTATCTGCGGACCTAAATGTTGAAGTTATATAAATAGAAATAACAAAATATATGGAAATGACCTGTTGATGGGGAGTGGGTAAAATGACTTCTTCGCTTTGCCTTGCCCCTCTGTATTGGTGTTTGTGAATATGTGTGTATTTATATGTTTTTCCCCTTCTTTTTTTATCCCTTGTTACGGTCTTCTTTATTTTATTTCATTTTTTTCTGTTTGTCAGCCAAACAAAGACGTTGGTGTGTAGGGGGTGTAGACTGACATATACATCCGTTCTTGCCAATGCGGTACCAATTTCAAGAAGTCACCGGTAAGATGAATTGCTGACAAAAGCATTTGTGATCCAAAGGGATTCTATTAGTCTCCGGCACGTACTCCCTGATTCTAATCCGTTTTCTCTTGTCATTGTTTCCTGACGCACACAGCCTGATCCATGTATGTTGGTACGTGTCTCTGTGTGTGTGTGTGTGTGTACCTGTGTGTATGTGTGCAGTGATTAAAAAAAATAAAGCAAACACACACAATCAGATACGTGGACGTACCCACACACTTACACACACACGCGGACACTTTCCTAAATATATGGCCATACACACGCCCCCTCTCTCTCTCTCTCTCTCTCTCTCACACACACACAAACACACACACATTATTTAAATTTGCTATACTAATAAAAGAGTTCTCAATGTTGGCGGGTCCATAATTGATAGTATACAAGGTAGTCCAAAAGTCTAGTCACCCCAACATAATATAATTTTCTATTTCAGATAGCTGACAGTTTGAAAGAGACATTCTCGATGTGTGACAGCGTCGATAAAAGTCAATAAACTGAATCCAGTACACGTCGTTTGTATTACTGTATTACTTGTTTTTATAATGTTCTCATTGCTTTTTGTTATGGGGTGACAAGATTTTCGGACCATCCTATATATATATATATATATATATATATATATATATATATATATATATATATATATATATATATAAAATGAATATTTAAATATATTTCTGAAATACATTATAGCCGAGATGGATTTTACGGATTTCTTGACTTATTGTATATATATATATATATATATATATATATATATATATATATATATATATATATCGTCTTTGTCAAATTGAACTGAACTGTATTTTAATGAATATTGTCCTGAAGAAGGTTTATTAAACCGAAACGTCAGACGTCGACATTTCATTCATTTTAAACAACATAATTGCATTTAAGGATTTTTGGTTTGTTTTTTCCAAATTTTTCTTCATATATATATATATGTATATATATGAAAAAATATACGAAAAAAACAAAAAAAATCCTAATATGCAATTATGCTGTTTTAATGTTAATATAATGTCAACGTCGGACGTTTCGGTCTAATAGACCATCTTCAGGACATAAAAAAATCTTATAAAAGATTTCAGTTATCTGTTTGGATTGGTCTTGCTCTTATGTCCATCGTCTTTTTCATGCTGAATTTAATATGGTCTAATGTTAATTATGTTTTATAAATATGTCCTGAAGACGGTCTATTAGACCGAAACGTCCGACGTTGACATTATATTAACATTAAAACAGTATAATTGCATATTAGGATTTTTGCTTGTTTTTTCCGTATATTTTTCTTCATATATATATATATATGTGTGTGTGTGTGTGTGTGTGTACATGTGTGTGTGTGTGTGTATTGGAAGATGATAATGCCACTGAGATGACTGACGTGGGTGACTGTCAGTGAATGAAGATGCGGTGACATTAGTGAGGAGAAGAGAATAAAAGAACAGGATTCAGGAAGAGAGAAGATGGCAATTGATGTTGCATTTCAACTTTTGAAGAATTTCGGCAGCAGAAAAGCAAAAAGCCGGAAGAAATTTTTAGAGGAGAGAGAGAGAGAGAGAGAGAGAGAGAGAGAGAGAGAGAGAGAGAGAGAGAGAGTGTGTGTGTGTGTGTGTGTGTGTGTGTTTGGGTTTTAGTATAGGCATCAATACTTTTACCCTTTGAGAGAAAAAAAAATCCACAACCTTTGATCTTAAACATTTTTTGACGAACACTTGAATCTGGTTTTCATTAGAGAAAGTTTTTCCCCAAGCAAAACGTTTAGCAGCCATAGTAAATATAAAGTAATTATTTGATGCAATGTTAGGTAAATATGGCGGATAGTGTAGAATTGAGTGACCGAGATCCAAACTTCTTCACAACTTTATTCTTGTTCTATGTAGCCATTGCGTTGTAAATGAGGTAGATCAACGATTTGCCATTCACTAGCTGCATGCCAATTGCAGATTGGAGCTACCGAAATCAAACAGGGATATCAATTTAGATATCTGTAAAGCGTATTATCAGATGACAGAAAGTGAGACAAGAAAATCCAAAGGCATATTGGGATAGCGAAAGATGTCTTCCAAAAGCTGAGCAAAGTATTAAGAAATAGAAAAAATACCT